TTCAATTCCTCAGCACCACATAAGCAAAAAGAAAAAAGCTGGAAGTGGCACTGTGGCTCAAGTGGTAGAGCGCTAGCCTTGAGCTGAAGAGCTGAGGGAAAGCACCCAGGCCCAGAGTTCAGGCCCCACAACCGGATCCCCCCCCCCCTCAAAAAAAAATGCAAAAGGTAAGACCAGGCATCTTGATTGCTCACACTAAACGCCAAAAGAATATGCAATTACTGCCTGTCGCCTTTAAGAGAAGACTCAACGGAAACTTCCATGCAGCAACTCTAGTTCCTGTTTTAAAGGGATTTCTTAAAGGGAGGGGTTAGGAAGAACTGAACAAAATAAATACAAATGAAGAGCAGTGTTACTCAATTGAACTTTGTGAAGTAATGGAAGTATTGTCCCATATAGGGTCCACTCACATGTATCTGACTATCTGACATGTGGCTAGTTATGACCAAGAAAATGAAATCTGAATTTTGTTTATGGTTTTACGTAGTACAGGATGGCCTCCTGCTTCCTTCACCCTGAGTGCTAGGATTACAAATGTCTTGTGCCACCATACCTACCTTCATTTTATTTTTTATTTATTTAAATAAACACTGGTGATTAGTGGCAAATATGCTAACAGATAGTACAGATTTGAACAGATAAAAACCCAAATCAAAGGTCCTAAAATCCTAATGAATGCAGACAAGTAGGTGCTTTTATGGAAAAATAGTTACTGAAAGGTCTGTTGCTTAGGTAACTCCAGGAGTTGTTGAAACTGCAGGAGAAAGCTTCCTAAACCACAAACCTGTGTATATTCATAGCATATAATTAAATGTGGTAAGTGGTGTACAAGCTAACAACTCAGGCCTTGTAATTTCTGTGAACCCACAAGTAATTTTAAGGTTGATTTCTAGTTACAAACTCAAGTTTGAATTGAGAAACTTCTAGTGACAATGCATAATTCTCCTGCCCCCCAACACTGGGAACAATCAGAATCACTCCCATTTTCCTCCTCTTTTTGTGGCTAAATTCCCCTAGGCTTCAGTCACACCCCTAGCTATTCTACAGTTCCATTCCAGTCCTAAACCAGGAAGTCAATGCTTTGAGACATCTGGCAGGATTTCCTGAAGCTTATTATCTCAAAGTGTAAAGATCTGCTTAGCAGCCACATTCCACAATCTTTCCAAGGTTTCTCCAGAAAAAAATGGGGAAAATAAAAAACCTTAAGGATACAAAAAACCAGGTAATCATAGGAGATGAAATACAACTAAGTCTAAAAATACATGAATATGAAAGATTCTGCTTTGCATTTAGGGAACCATTTCCCATTTTTAACCATGAAGAAGAAGAAAAAAACCCATAAGATTTAATAAAACCAAAATTTAAGGCCATAGGTAAATATATGAAATTGAAGTTCAAGTGGGAACTCTTAAAACCAGAACAACAGGTATAACTACTATGGAAAGCATATGCCTTAAAATTGCCGAAGTGAATCATTACTAATTAAAACACAGTAGTTTGCCATGAAAAAGCAGTTTTCTTCCTGGAGATACAAGTTTAGATTATTTGCTTTATATCATTAGTATCTAAAGATGAGAGAAAGGTAAGGCATTCCTGACTCATAAGTTAGGAATACATAACCAAAGACTTTCATTAAACATGCTTGTCTTCTAAAACTGTAGCTACACATTTTAATAAGGTCTACTCTAGTTTTATAATACCTTGAATTTAAAAGCAGACCATGTAAGAATTTTTGTGGTAGCTTAAAATGTGACTGGAACAGGTTATTTAAAAAAGGAGATTTCCCATCCTTCTTTTTAATGGTACTATACCTGTCATTAGAAGAGAAATCCATTCCTAGGACAATGCTTTCTTCAGTGTCTTGTCTACCATTAGTTGAAACTACTACCATATAGCGTGTTCGATTCTGGTAAGTGCTTTCTAGTCTTACAGCCTGAAAGATAATAGAAATCAGAGAAATTATGCAATTTAGAAGAGATTTTAACACTGTTCCTTCAGCATCTTAAAACATTCAAAGGGAATCTCAGAGCCTCCAGTTAGGACATCTAAATTTAATTCCCAAATTATATGCTAACTCAAAAGAGAAACAGTTCTAGTCCATAAAATATTTGTCAGAAATTTGAAAGAAATTTCTATTTGGAATTCTTTAAGGGTTGATATTCTTGGAATCTCCTCTGTAATTCTATCACTAGTCCAAAGTTTCCAAAGAGAAAAATAATTACAGAAATCAAATGACCCATTTAGCAAGGCAGAGGTGAGACTCTCATAGCTATCTTTGTGTATTCTGATATGCCTAAGGAAAAGCTACGGAAGCATGAACAAGCAGAATTGGCTGCATTAGCTTATTTGTAGTAAGTGCTGACACAACCAGACTGTAATGCCCATTATTCTGATGCCAACTGTACAAGACAGAGAGCCATACTGTTGACTTTATGTCCCATGAAGAACAGAGCATTCAAAATCAAATCCACTTTACAGGAAGCTAAGAGGAGCTAACATTTAATCCAACTACGGTATAGACTTAGTTGATTGGGATCAAGGAAAAAGCATTAAACACGTAAGATAGATGGGAGTAAATGCACAAGGTAGGTTGAAAGGCAGCAATGACTCTTTCTCTGATTAAGATAAATATATTAACCAGAAATTAACCAGAAAACTCAGTACAGGGAAACTAGAATTTCTTATAAACAAGTTATCAGGTATTATTACATATTAAATGTGGGCAAGCTTTGGCAATTTTTGAACTAACCATTCAAGCTTTATGAATGGCTTAGAAAGCTCTTTATTCTCTGTCAAGGCTCTGAAAATTACTGGCCAGGCTAAAACACAAATGGCATGGGAACAACTGAACTGTGCTTCTGACAATTTATCTTATACAAACCAGTAACAACTGATTAGCTACGTAAGCTGATAAAAAAACCAAAACCCCACATAATCTTCATACATATGACCAATAATGCAAAGTACCAGGCCAAGTGAGCACCAAGAATATTTTGGTGTTTGGAGCGCAAACAGTTATCTCTTGTAAGATTTGTACTGATTTATACATCAAGAACATGGGAAAGGACCAGTTACTGAACATGACAGGAACAGGACTAGAAGGGATGGTTCAAGTGGTAGAATAAGTACTTAGCCTCCCCCCCCCCCAAAAAATACCCATAGGCACATCTTGGATCTATTTAAATTTCTTAGATGGAAGAATAAACTGAGAATTCTGGAGATTTAATCACTGATCTCTAATAGTGTCTATAATAGTTATCCTGAAATGCTAGAGGAAATGTTAAAATACCTTTCAAGGGCAGAGCACTATGCTTAATATGCACAACACCCTGGGTCTGATCCCTAGCATGGAAAAAAAATTACAGAACCTTTCTAGAGTTTTCAATTTCTAGGTAAAGAATTAAGCAACATTTAGCTGAAAGGATGACTCAGTGGTAGAGTGCTTGCCTTGCATGCATTAAACCTGGGTTTGATTCCTCAGTACCACATAAGCAGAAAATGGTACTATGGCTCAAGTGGTAAAGCGCTAGCCTTGAGCTGAAGAGCTGAGGGACAGCACCCAGGCACAGAGTTCAAGCCCCATGACTGAATTAAGCAACATTATATAAGCCCAAAGCATAAATGAGTATCTAATATTATACTTTTATCTACTGGAAGTTAATCTCATATTTTTCTGTTCTCAAGAAGATTAGCAAAATCTAATAATCTAATTTAGCTATATTCCTAGTACCTGGGAAACAGAAGCAAGTTTTAGTCTAATCTGGACTACATAGGACTTGGGGAGGAGTGGTAATAGTGGAGGAGGAAGCATTTTCAGTATTTTTTTTAGTCTCCAGGATTTTGGAATAAATGGCTGGCACAATACAGTTGAGATAAATTTGATTAGCAAGATGAAGTTCTCTGTACTTCAGCTTGAAAGTACGACACTAGTGTATTCCATTCTAATTGCTCAACAAAACATTAACTGTAGATTTTGAAACATGTCAACAATAGCAACTGAGAAAATTATTACAAGAAAGTCCATTTATTGCCTAAATTTGGAATCCTATTATAAGTGTTAGATGAACTAGAGTTAGTTAATCTTTGGGCTGAAGTAGGTCAGAGAAATCATTTCTGCTTCTTATATGAAGAAGATATACCTCTGCTTATTCCTAAAAATAGGCACACTATTTTCAAAGCTTCAAAGAATAATGATAAAGCTTTTCTTTCTTTCTTTATTCTTTTTGCCAATCCTGGGGCTTGAACTCAGGGCCTGAGCACTATCCCTGAGCTTCTTTTTGCTCAAGGCTAGTGCTTCTACCACTTGAGCCACAGTGCCACTTCTGGCCTTTTCTGTGTATGTGGTACTGAGGAATCGAACCAGGGCTTCATGCATGCTAGGCAAGCATCTGCCATTAAGCTACATCCCCAGCCCTAGTTTAAATTCTTAATCTATATATTCCGCATTGTACAAGAACTTCTCTCATCACCATTATCTAATATCAGAAAATACTTCTGCTTAAGTTTACAGTACACCTTTGTCTTTAATTTCTCTTCACCAAGAGTCCTACACATCATGCCTCTGCATGCATGTACTGTTTATCCTCAGGGAAGCCACATTATAAAGACTCAATGTCTAGACAGGCAGTTCACCCAATCTATCAGAGGGAAAGGTTTCAAAAGTATGTAAATATTAAATTCTAGCCAAAAGAACAAAGCAAAGTCAACAAGCCTAAGATTAAAATAGACTTCAGATTGACATGAATAAAAAACACTGTCTTCAAAAAAATAGATTAAAGATGGAAGAAATCTGGATTTTAAAAACTGTCTCTATGAACTTTTTAGTGTTAAAAATCTATAAATTAAATTCTTTATGGCAATAAAAATCATGATTTAAGAGTTGAGGATGTAGTTCAGTGGTAGAATACTTGCCTTGCACATACCAAAGCCCTAGGTTTGATTCCTAGCCTAGGCAAAAAACTCAACCCCCATATAAAAATTATTTACATAGAAAAATAGCCTTGATAAATTATAAAGAAAGAATGTTATAAAACAGTATCTTATTTTTATTAAAAAAAGGCAAAACATACTAGCTATGCTTTTACAGATTAGTTTACACCTCCCTCCTTTGTCCTTCTGTCCTATACTCATATACAAACACCAAAATAAGACTGGAAGAATAATGTACTCAAATTGCCAAGAACAGCTTTCTTTCTTTTTTTTATTTTGAAAATACTGTGCAGAGGGGTTACAATTACATGGGCAAGATAATGAGTACATTTCTTATCAAGCATTGTAGCCTCCTCCTTTGTTTCCCCTTCCCATCCCATCCTCCCCCCCACCCCCCAAGAATAGCTTTCTTAGAGTATAGGATAGGTGATTGTATCTTTATGTCTTTTGGAATTATCCCATTTGGAAAAACAAAATCAAAATCAAATAAAATCAAAATCTAAACCTAAATTCCAATGCACTTACACGAAGAAAGAAATAAACTTTTCATTTGAACAAAATCTTTTCATTCTCATTTTCTTAAATTATCCTGCAGTTCTCTGACCTCAGCTCTAGTCAAGAACATTATTGAAGAACTATAAAACTATTTCCTTACATTATCAATTAAAGATTTCCTAAGTATTAACTATACTTAATGCTTGATACTTGTATTTGGAAAGCAGAGTCCCTTGTAGGTAAAGATTTTTTTTTTTAAATCACATTTTCAATGTGTTAGCAAAACGTGGAGTTTGGTTGGATTAAGAAAAATAAAGGCTAGTCTTTCAGCTGACTATCAAACTTTTAACCTTATGCACAAGTCCCAAGATAAGAGTTTTAGCATTCCAAATTTAACTAAAACAAAAGCCTTTGCTTTGAGACTACAAATGTTCCTTTCAGTTAGAAAAGTGCTAATTTGTCTAAAGTTATACAATGCATTCACTCATTTTCTTGAAGATGACTCACTCAATAATTTGAAACATAATAACTATGTGTTTGTAACAATTCAAAACAACGGTAAATGGCTTGTCATTTGAATTCTGAATTAATTCAGAGGCATCAGATATATTTTTTGAGTTTTCATTTTATAAATATAAAGCAGCTGAAACTGCATATTTCAGTATGAAAAGAGAAGATTTAATCTCTTGGTCTGCCTTTCTAATTCTATCCTTCATGTTCTCATAAGTCTCATGTGGTAAATTATTTTAATATTTAGAGGCTCAAGACAGGCACCAGTGTCTCACGCGTGTAATCCTAGCTACTCAGGAGGCTGAGATCTGAGAAATGAGGTTCAAAGTCAGCCTGGACAGGAAATTTTGTGAGACACTTATCTCCAAATATACACCAAAAAGTTGAAAGTGGAGCTCTGGCCTTGAGCAAAAAAGCTCAAGGATAGCATCCAAGGGATACGGACACACACAGACACAGACACAGACACAGACACAGACACACACACACACACACACACACACACACACACACACACACACACACACACCATCTAAGTCTTGAAGTCAAGTCTACACACACACACACACACACACACACACACACACACACACACACACACACACACACACACACACACACACACACCATCCAAGCCTTGAAGTCAAGCCTCCCAAGGGATACGGACACACACACACACACACACACACACACACACACACCATCCAAGCCTTGAAGTCAAGCCTCAGGACAGACACAGACACAGACACACACACAGACACACACACACACACACCATCCAAGCCTTGAAGTCAAGCCTCAGGACACACACAGACACACATAGCATCCAAGCCTTGACCTCAGGACACACACACACACACACACACACGCACGCACGCACGCACGCACGGTAGAGCACTAGCCTTGAGCTGAAGAGCGCCCAGGCCCCGAGTTCAGGCCCCACAACCGGACCCCCCCCCAAAAAAAATCTTCAGGTATGGCTCAAGTGATAGAGCAACTACCTAACAAGCATAAGGCCCTGAGTTCAAACTCTAATACTGATGAGAGAGAGGATATTAATGCTATAAGAACTGCACTCTTGGCTGGGTGCCAGTGGCTCACACCTGTAATCCTAGCTACTCAGGAGGCTGAGATCTGAGCATCAAGGTTCAAAGCCAGCCCTGGCAGGAAAGTCTGTGAGACTCTTATCTCCAATAAACCACTAGAAAACCAGAAGTGGCGCTATGGTTCAAGCGGTAGAGCGCTCGCCTTGAGCTGAAGAGTGCAGGGACAGCGCCCAAGCCCAGAGTTCAAGCCCCATGACCGGAAAAAACAAACAAACAAAAAAAAGAACTGCACTCTTCACCTATTCCCTTTTTTGAGACAGGGTCTTACAGTGTCACTACGTTTTATTTAAATGTATATAATCTTAATTTTGGGTTAGAATAGAAACTAATTTAGACAAAAGACAAAAAAGAAGGCATGGAGGCAGCATTCAAAAGAAAGGATAAAACAAAAAAAAAAATTTTTTTTTGGGTCCAGTCATGGGGCCTGAACTCGGGGCCTGGGCGCTGTCCCTCAGCTCTTCAGCTCAAGGCTAGCACTCTACCACTTGAGCCACAGCACCACTTCCGGCTTTTTTCTTTGTGCTTATGTGGTACTGAGGAATCGAACCCAGGGCCTCAGGCATGCAAGGCAAGCACTCTACCACTGAGCCAACTTCCCAGCCCCGGATAAAACAAAATTTAAACATAAAACGATTAAGTGAATGTAGAATCAGTGATTACTAGAGAATTCAAAGACTGATCATCAACTGTCCACAAGCTTATATTCTCAACTCTCTTACTAGACATAAAGACCAACTATTTTTAACCTGCCTATAGTTTTCATAAAATTTCAATTAACTAATCTAGAAAGACTTGAGACCAGACTTCTTGGTGATTTCAGTAACTATCTCATGGGCCTCTTCCTCCTCTTCTCCATTTCATATCAGCTTCAGGGTAATCTTTCCCTGTAGCTGTCTCATGTCACTCCTTGGCTCAAAAACCTATAATGTTTCACAACTGTTTACTGAAGAGGGAGAGGTACAGCCTGTACTTAGTAATTTAAGGGTCAGGCAAAACATACAAAACAATAAAGTAGGCCATCTAAATATTAAATGAGATACTTTTTTGTTGTTGTTGTTGGGGCTTGAACTTGGGTGCTGTCCCCGAGCATTTTCTGCCCAAAGCTAGTACTCTACCATTTTTTTTTTTTGGTGGGTCATGGGTCTTGAACTCTGGGCTTAGGCACTGTCCCTCAGCTCTTCAGCTCAAAGCAAGCGCTCTACTGTGTGAGCCACAGCACTGCTTCTAGTTTTCTAGTGGTTTACTGGAGATAAGAGTCTCATGGACTTTCCTGCCTGAGCTGGCTTTGAACCAGATTTCAGGCTCCTGAGTAGCTAGGATTATAGGAGTGAGCCACCAGTGCCAGGCTTTACTCTACCATTTTGAGCCACAACACCACTTCCAGTTTTCTGGTGGTTAATTGGAGATGAGTCTCATGGACTTTCCTGCGCAGGCTGGCTTTGGACTGCGACCCTCAGATCTTAGCCTCCTGAGTAATGAGGATTATAGGTGTGAGCCACCAGCACCCAGGTAGTACTTTTTATTTATACAAAGAATCATATTTACATCATTTTCCTATTTTTCTTTGGAGAAAAAACAGTCCAAGAAATGATGATAGATGACAATTGATTTAAGTGTCTGAGAGGCAATAGGATCTGAGAAAGTTATGGTAAACTAAGAACCTACATATTGTTTCCCTCCACCTCAGACTAACTATGATTTCCATGTGAGGATAAAATCTCAGTGTTGTCAGAAAACTGACTTCTGAAAACTCAAATCTGATACTGTATAGAGAGTTTACAGTTACATGAGTAAGGTAATGAGTACATTTTCTATCAAGCATTGTTACTTCCTCCTTTGTTTTACCCCTATCACATTGTAAAGCTTATTTTCAACATAGTGTCTTGTATATCTTATTGTTACAATGGGTCAACCTGTATCCTTATTTCAGCATTTTTTTTTTTTTTTTGGCCGGTCATGGGGCCTGCACTCTGTCTGGGTCAGGGCGCTGTCCCTCAGCTCTTCAGCTCAAGGCTAGTGCTCTACCACTGGAGCCACAGCACCACTTCCGGCTTTTTGTTTATGTGGTGCTGAGGAATCGAACCCAGGGCCTCATGCTTGCAAGGCATGCACTCTACCGCTGAGCTATCTTCCAAGCCCCTATTTCAGCATTTTGTTATTTCCCTTCCCCTCCCCCTCAAATCTGAATTTTTATATGAAACCACTCAGCTTTAAAATTCTAACATTGAAAAAAACACTGCGATCCAAACAAAACTTAACTTTGGCTTATGAGCTGTCAATTTGACTCCTTTAAAGAATTAAATTCATATTTGCCTGCCATGTCTTCTGGTCTCTATCTTCCCTATATAACAATAATCCTCATATTTAGGCAGAATTTTACACTCTAATGTTTTCATGCCCATTTGATCCTGCCAACTGTGAGAAGCTGTTAGGAAATGAGGAAAAGAACACAAACAGCCTAAGGTAACTTGCTAACATCACCTGGTTAGCAAGGACTCAAGCCCTAGTCTGGTGACTCTGAGGTCAGCATCATATGTAGTCATTTCACTCCCACCTTATCCCTTCCTGTGGGTGCTTCTGCTTAAGTTATAACTTCATCTAGAATGATTTCTTTCAGGCAATCCAAATTTCATCATCTTTCAAGATCCATTCAAACTTTATTGTCTAAAGAAAACATTTCTCAACTAGGTCAAATTCCCAATTTTTCTCTCCTTTTTCTCTTCTGCAACTGTTACTATGGACAGTAACTTACAAACTTGTGCTTATCAAACTCTTGAATGTTATTATTTTACATCACTCTTCAACAGTTTATACCCACAAATTCTAAGCTCCTGGATGATGAGGATATAACATTCTTCTTTTCTATTCCATATAGTTTCCAGTAACGTGTTGAAATATAAAATGACAGTTTAATATTGGCTACTTTATATAGTCTTTTGAGGAAGAGTTATGATAATACAATTAACTTACCAGCCTGATGTTGTCTTCTGGGCGGAGTAATATGAACATTGCTTGGAGATGCTGTTGGAGATCGCCTGTTGAAATTTATAAAAGAAAGGGTAAGTATTCTCCATTCTAATACCAACAGACAGGATTTCTTCTTTCTAGTAATTTATAAAGCAATAAAGTTCTGGTTCACTGAAGACTCAGACTCAGAAATCAATTAATATGATTAATTAATTTATTTTTTTTAAATTTTATTTTATTTTATTTGTGAACATACTGTACAGAGGGGTTACAATTGCATGGGCAGGATAATACGTACATTTCTTACCAAGCATTGCAGCCTCCTCCTTTGTTTACCCTTCCCATCCCTTCCCAGCCTCCCCCCTCCCCCCATCCCAATCCTTCTCCTTC